AGTGTCTCTGCTTTAATGTTTACATCTTTAATCCATTAAAAGATAATTTCATATTGAGCGATGTTTTGGAAAAACTGACATCTCAGTAGGCTTTCCCCAGAAGTAGTGCAAACCATTTTCCTATTACCCCGATGTCCATGACCAAGGCCGCAGATAGAGTACCACGAATAATCCATGTGTGGATGAGCTGTGTGTCTTCCTCCTCACAGTTGATCTTTACAGAGAAGCCCGAGACCCAGAGCGGAGACTTCCCGCAGTTCCCTGGTAACCCAGCGGAGTGAGGGTCAAATCTGATCACATGAGGAGGTTGGCACCCTTAGCAGTAGCAGCAGGCAGCCGAACGCAAGAATCGAGCTCCTCCCTGGGACCTCTCACCTCCCTCTGTACTGTTTCAGGCAAGAGTTCGGCTCGGATCAGTGTCCAGACCTGACGAGGGAAGTGTACCTGCAAGACATCCACTGCGTGGGCTCGCTCTGCAAGCTGTACTTCCGGGAGCTGCCCAACCCACTCCTGACCTATGAGCTCTATGAGAAATTCACGGTGAGCAGTGGCTTCCAAGACCGAAGCCAGGGTGGGTCAAGGAGTGTTTCACCATGTTCAATCACGCTGTTCTACACAGGCTGGCGGACAGTATCTTTTCTGAATATTTAGAATTATGGTTTTGTTTTGACTTTTATTTGAAATTTATTGTAAGTTATTGTCATAATTTGAGTTTGATACAGATGGAGAGTTTTAAGAGCTGGGTTAAATGATCTGCATATTTATCCACCCAAAGGTACCTTGTTGAGTAGGGAGAGAACTGGAGTACTAAAGGAGCTGGCTGAAGGTCACAGAGCAGAAATAGGCTGGAGCAGAGACCTCTGCTGCCGCCATAACCACAGCCTAGTCGTTTCCCTCAGGCTTTTCTTTCTGTGCTTCTATTTGGGAGTCAGGGGAAGAGAAGGGAGACGATGGAACAAGTCAGAGGATAGGTCAGGAAGCCAGGGGAACAAAATAAAGGGAGAAAACCCGGCACGGACCTCCACAGGAGCGCAGTTCACAGCAGTGGGCCCTGTGGGTAAGCAGGAAAGAGAAACGGTGTGTAAAGGACGTCTGGACAGACTGCATGAAAAATAGGGCTTAAAGTCACAATGGTGATGCATACCTGTTATCCCAGCTACTTTGGGAGGCTGAGGCAGGAGGATTGTAAATTGGAGACAGCCTGGACAGTTTATCAAGACAGTAACAACACAATAAACAATGAAAAGGCTAGGAACAGAGCTCAGTTGTAGAGTGCTTGTCTAGCATATGTGAGGCCCTGGGTTTCGTCCCAGCCCCCTCAAAAAGAAAAAGAAGAAAAATAGGATTTGAACACCTAGCTGCATGAGTACAAGTATAAAACATGTAGAAGGTTGGGTTTAACCAAAGTTGGGATTCACTTAGTGAAAGGGGGGATGTGAGGCAGTTGAACTAGTCAGTCATGGAATTTAGTCTGGAAATGAGAGTAACAGTGAAGTGAAAGTACCCATCCCAGTGAGCTCAGTGGAATGAGAGAGGAGGACCTTTGAAACTGAGGTCATGGAGGTGTCACAGTTGCTGGTAAAAGGCCAGAACTAGGCTTTCCTGATGGGAAGGGATTGTTCCCATGGCTTCTATAATAAACTTATTCTGAGAATATGGAAGGCTCTTCAACTTGAAATGATGTAGGAATAAGGGAACATTACTTCTTAGAAATTGGGCATGGGTCATTAAAATGCATTTAATCCTTGGTGTGGTGAGTGACACATACTTGTAATCCAGCTATGTGGAAGGCTGAGGCAGGAGGATTGCAAATCCAAGGCCAGACTGGGCAAGTTAGTGAGATCCTATGTCGAGTAAAATTTAAAAAGGGATGGAGATGTAGATCAGTGCTTCCTAAACTCAGTCTGTAATGCTGAACACACACACACACACACACACACACACACACACAGAGGGATTTTTAGTAACTGAGGGAAACATAATAATGGAAAACAGCTCAATTCATAATGGTTTCTTAAGACAGGATTAAAAGGAAAATGTTCAAAAACTAACATTTCTTTCAATGATGGGCTCCTGGATTTTTTTTCTTTTCTTTTTTTTTTTTTAGATAGGGCTTTACTGTGTAGTGCAGTCTGGCCTTGAACTTGCTTATGTAACCCAGGCTGGCCTCACACTCAGCCTCTTGAGTGCTGGAATTACAGGTGTGTGCCACCACACCTGGCTTTCTTCTTTATACTTTAACTTTTTATAATTTCAGTTCTTTCTGTCACACACGCGCACGCACGCGCACACGCACGCACACACACACACCCCTATATGTCTCTTCAGTGCTATCTGTCAATGATGGCAAACCTTTTGGAGCTTTCAATGACACAAACAGCCTCTGGTAGCATGTGTGTCACAGTGTCACCACCACTACTACATCTTACTGTGCTGAAGCATTTTCACTTGCACACTCTGGCCATCCTTCCCTGTGAGTAGTGTGGAGCAGTGCTGTTTTCCCAGTAAGCCACGCACAATGCTTTCTGAAGCCAAGTTCTTACTGATAAGCAGTCAGGCTCTTGCTTTTTATGAACAACATTATAAAGACACATACATCTTTATACTTTTGCCTGTTATATATCAGGGAAAAGTCATTGCAATATATTTGCTCAATAAAGAGCTTTTAAATTTATTTCAGGGGAGCTGGAGATGGATCCCAGGGACTCACATAGGCTAGGCAACCACTCTCCCACGGAGCCATGGCCCAAGGCTAACAGTCTTCATCGGTTACATGATGTGACTCTCTCCTCCAGAGAGATGAGAGTGCCCTTGTTCTTGCAACCTTACCAATACTGGACATCTTCAGTTTATTAAATTATTTGTCAATCCAAATTAACTAAAAGATCTTATTTCTCAGTGAATTGTGATCATAACTTATTGTTCATTTTCTTCATGACTGTGATATAAGATCAATACTCTAGGGACTGGGGAGATGGCTTAATGGAATAAGCACTTCCCTGGCAAGCACAAGGGCCTGAGTTCAATCCCCGGTTCCACCAAAAAAAAAAAAAAAAAATCAATACTCTAGTATCATCTTTGAATATAGTGAAGTTCAATATCATCATGTTAATGAGCTGAATAAATACGATTTATTTTCTCCTTTTTTTTTGCTAGCTCAGCCCACCCTCAGGGCAGGGCTAGCAGGGCTTGTGGTGCCAGGGATCAAACCACAGTCCTCTGCACTTGCCTAAACTTTGCCTACGCAGGTGCTTTAGACCGCTGAGCTATCTCACCAGCTCAAATATGATTTCTTTTAGCTAATATCCTGTCAGTGAGGGGGGATAGGAGTTTTTGTCTAGAAACTTCAGAAATATAATCTCTTCTTAGATCTTATCTGTAGGTGCAGAATAAAATCCACATTCTCTCTCTGTGCCCTAGCTCCCTAGTGTGCTAGTCTTTCTGTTCTCTCACAGCAATTGAAAAATGCAGAAGCAACAATTTTCAGCTTGCCAGAAGACCTGAAGGAAATTTAAGCAGTTTATTGACACTAAAAATAAAACAGGAATATTTTGTTAGGACTCCTGTCTTTGACATAAGTAGGACCTCAGAGGAATTTGTTGTAATAGTGTTTGTAAATAGGATATCATGTCTGCATCTTGTGCAGCAAATAACCACTAGGAAGACAGTATGCAGTGTGTTAATTATTGAAACTGTCCTACCAATTTGATTTGAAACTGTCTCATTGCTATTTGTCTGTCAATAAAATTATGGAAAGAAAAAAAATAAAATAAAATAAAAAATAAAACATCCAAAAAAAATAAATGAATAAATTAAGTAGGACCTAGTGAAGGTAACTGTATTGCTGAATTTATCATTTAATAGATTTCTTTGACCACAGTAATAAATATGATAATATGAGCACATCATCAGAGATATGGAAATGTAGCTCAGTTATGGTATCATGCATTCCCAAAATAATTTATTTAAGCCAACTTACACAGCTAAAATAAAATAATATTTCAATGGAATAATAAGAGAAATAGAAAAACATTGATGGAATATTATTAGTAATGATAATAGTCATTTACTGAATGCTAATTATATAATAAACTCATTATAAATATTATCTCATTGAATCCCAAAAATAACCCTATGATATCAGTCTTATTGTCTCAACCAAATGAGTAAATGGAGTCTCAGAAAAGTTTATCTTATCCCAGAGATAAAGATGGAAATGTTCTCATTGCTAGAACTCCACTCTAGGATGTGCACCAAATAATTGATATGTTGACTGCAATTTATATGTAAACATAAACTTCACAGTTTATGCCTAACTATAGAAAATGAATGATAAATCTTTTTTTGTTTGTTTGTTTTTTTGCGGTACTAGGGATTGAACTCAGGACCCTGTGCTTGCCAGGCAAGCGCTTATTCTACTGAGCTATCTCCCCAGCCCAAGAAAATGAATGATAAATCTATTTGCAGTGGGCCCACGAATTCACAGGGGTTATGTTCCTAAAGCATCTATGAATTGTGAAAAACCAAGAATTTCAGATATGCTCAGAAAAAAAATGCCTATATCTATTTTTATAGTTTAAACCCTGAATATGCTATGTCTCCTGCAGTTATGTAGTTTATTTTAATAAATAACTATGTATTTATATAGTCTTAGAAGGTGCAGGGTGTTTTGGTGGCATCTTAAATACTAAGAACACGGGAGATAGCTACAGGCAGTGCAGCAGCCTGTCATGATGGTGTATTCACCTGGGATGGGTTACAGAGAGCAGCCAATGAGCAGCCAGGAGAACTGATGAACGCTCTTGGATTGGCTACTTACAAACCACCTGCCAAAGACAAAACAGAACAACAACAACAAAAACTGTGGAGGATATTTGTGTTGCCAGGACATTGCAGGTTTTCTGTGGCCACTGTTAGGTTCTAAGGAAAAATCTGAAGATGAATGAGGCCAAGAACTCTGAACCACAGCTTCACCATCATATACTATGTTTTCAAAACTGTGTAGCAAGGAAAGATTGTCTTTCTAACAAATATTTACTGGGCAGAACATGAAGTTAAATGGGGGAAAAAGATGCAGCTACATAGAAAAGATGTCAGGGCTCACATTTGGTGCTAGAAGGCCCAGAGGAGGTGGTTCCTTTATGCTTCTTGTGTGAGGGGTGGTTATTTCTGGGTGGTGCAATAAAAGACAGCTTTTGCCCTCCATAGATTTTACATTTTAGCGCATGTGTTAGTTTACCATGGCTGCAATCACAAAATGCTATCTTAGTGTGACTTAAATAGCCAAAATTCATTCTCATAATTGTTGAGGTCAGAAGTTTGAAAACAGTTTCATTCAACTGAACTCAAGGTTTCAGCAGGACTCTGAGCTTCAGAGGCTTTAGGAAGAAATCTACTCCTCGCTTCCGCTAGCTTCTATACCATAGCTCGTGGCCACGTCCTCCCATCTGTGCCTGCATGTTTCCCCTGTCCTCTGTCCTATTAGCTTGGTCAGATCTTCCTGTGCTCCTCTTACAAAGTTACCTATGACTATGATTGGA